TCCTATTCTGTTTCTCACTTCTAGCGCCGGCTATAAGTAACATTAAAATAATAATAGCTTGTTTATTACTTGCAATCTCTTTAACGCTAAATTTTTTCAATGGTACCTGTTTTGTTAGCTGTTTCCTTTAATCAGAACCCTTATCATCGCCTTCTTTTTTCCTTATATATATATATATATATATATATATATATATAACATGAAAGATAACGAAAAAGCCTTTGCACAGGCCGCTCTTTGCGTATATGTCCTTAGTGTTTAAGCTTGCGGCTGCAATTTTTTCTTCATTTTTCCCTTTGGGCCAACAATTCAATTTGGTTTTTTTCCAGGCCGCTTGATTTTACTGCAGCTGCTTCCTCTCCCGGATCTTAGTAAGCAGCGTCCGCTTCATGCGCTCCGTGTAGCTCCAATCGCTGCTACTACTGCTTCTATGGCTGCTGCTGCTCCTCCAGTTGGGTATTATTCATTTTTCTTTTTTCCTTTTTCCTTTTTTCTCGCTGTCTCTTTCTTCCGTCGCCCACTAACCACCGTCGACTCTTTCGGCCGTTTTTCAAATCCTCACCAAATCGCCCCTCTGTCTTTGTACCCCTGTCTTATTATTCTAATGTATTGATTTCTTTCGGCGGTGCAAAGCAGTAGCAGGCGTAACAGTGTCGGACGTCGGCCGCGGCGGCGGCTACGGTTATTCGCCGCTTTAAGCTTCGACGCTAGGCCCAGTTTTCTAGTCTTGCTGGCAGCGGTGCCTCTGCCAACTTGCTGGTTCTGCGACTACCTTGTATCGCTTTCGGATTGAAGGTGGAGGAAAGCCGACAAGCAGAAATAGCGGCGGCGAGAAAGGACCGCGCGGACGAAAACGGAGCACCGTGTGGAAGGAGGACTACAGAGATAGGCAGGTTGAAAAAAGAAACTGGGTGGCTGGCCGGGAGGTATATATCGGCGGCGACGCACGGCACACGACGTACTACGTAAGGTACCGTTCGCCCCGTGCCTACTTCGTCCCAATTTGCCCCATCGCCATCCGAGCACAGCAAGGGCGTAGTACTCATGCTGTATGAAGAGCAGAACACAACTTAACTTAGCTCTTGCAAATTTAAAACCGATGCGTGCGAGTTCCTCCTATCGCGCCCACTAGCGACTGGGTCGATGTCCCATTAAGGCCATCAGAGGTGGGCTCTCGAATATCGGCGGTAGCAAAAGATCGGAGCCTGGTGCCTACCGGCGACTAGAAAGCGTAAAGCGAGTGGGTGGAGCGCCAGCTTCTGAAGGACTCGCATAGTTCGTGTGTACGTGTGGGTGTCTGAACAACGGTTAGCAGCTAGAGCGAGCCATTTCCGGCGTAAACGACAGTAGAAGCTGGACCGATTGCTCAACGGACGTTAGAGGCACGATAGAAACATCTAGTCGGTAGCACTCTTAGGGGGGGGACGGGCAGTGAGTGCACAGGGGACACAATAGCTGCCACCATGTGGATGTGGAGAATGGATCAGGGCAAAGCGTTACAAAGACCAATAGAGCCAGTGAATAACCAGTCCCGCAAGCACTGTCCCTTGTGAACTCCACCTTTTTCATACTTTTACAAGCGGAAACGGGACGAAAGAATGTAGCAGAGTTCTGGGGTATAGAAAATTCTTTTCGATTTTTCGACCAGTACCATCTCGGTCGGATTCGGACAACGGGAGTTACACATTGGCGGTTCGAAAGCCACACTTGCACATTTGCACCTGGTGCATACAAAACGCGCTAGAGAACAATATCTTCTTATTATACTGGAAGAAAATATTGCTTGTTCTACAGTTAAGTTCGGCCTAGCTACTGATTTCATTGTCGGTATTTATGCGTTCGGCAAAAGCAGCCACCCAATAGTGACCCGCTAGGCCATTAATGTCAACGAGTTTCTACAACAATAATTTGGTATCGTTAACTCTGGTAGCCCATATGAATCACTATTAAACATAGGCATCGCATTTTGTTGCTAGATCCTTTATCGCACAGTATTACACATGTCGAAAGGTACATGTCTTGACAAAGATCTCTGCCAAGTTTTGCAGATCGCAAAAACACGTATCTAATCATGCGTAGTCGATTAAGATGAATATACTCAGGCCTCCTTTGTTCGTTCGTTGCGAAAATACGATACTCAAGTTCTACCCTGCCATTAGTCACAGAGGTAACTATTCTGCTAGACTGGCCTGAACCGTCTTCCACCGCACCTACCTTTCACTTCGTTCCACAGGGCAGCCAATTGTTAAAATGAACTATGCGCAGGTCCGACAACTGTTCCTAGCCCATTTCGTTCCCACAGCATCATTAACCTCCAAGCTCACACGCAGACAGAGAAAAGTTAAAGAATCCGTGACCGCTAAGCGCACAAATTTGTCAAGAACTTCCCAGACCATGACCAAACCCAGTCAGGGGGTTGAAGCTGAATTCACTTTATCACACGACCATTACCGGCGACACATGCATCTAGTTGAAGCCACCTTTTGGCTATTGGACCTGTGACAAATCAGTCAATTGACCGATCAATCAGTAGCAATCAAAGCGAGATATGCCACAATGCGAACTACAATCTTTGGACAAACAAACCTTCAAAATTTTCAGGACTTTTCGACCTTTGTGAATCATTGACGTTCTCGTCCGATAGTAGCAGCTGCTGCTGCTGCTGCTGCGACTCCTCTCCTTTTATCCCCCTTTTATGTCGCTCAGTGTCCCTGATGCGTAACAAATCCAACTGTGTTCATGTCATATTCGCCATCTGTATACACCAGCTCGAAGCCCTATAGCAGTGGGCAACGGACCCCCCGCCCGTCCCCTGTACAAGCGAGTAACGCCACGTGTTAAGGAACGTTTATTTACTGCGAGTTGTGTACATGGAATTCCTACTAAGGCCAAATAAGGTACCCGTATAATCTGCAATTGTAGCTTGCTTCCCGTTCCATTTACCAATATCAATTTTTTCCGTGGACCCGTGTGCGTTACCGACTACTTCGATTTGGATCAACCAAAAACCGAGAACAATCTAGTTTATTTGCTGAAGACCTATGACGGATGATTTGCGCCAGCAACCCAAGCACCGATAAGCCAATCGACCGAATAGCTGGGTTAGGGTGGAAAAAATATTGTATTGCATCAAACTGTATTTTGGTAGAGGTGTGTGTGTGCGCGCGCGGGGATGTTTGTGAAAAAGTGGGATCACAATAAAGTAAGAAACTGATGTCTTCATTTAAAAGGTGAAGGGGCGGCCCGGGAGCTGTAGGCCACTGTTGTAATAATAGCGTATTTCTTGTGGCTTTTGATAGCTATCGGGAGCGAAGATCAATATGCAGAGATGGAAGACATGCACAAGCTCCAATGTTATAGTCGATATCGATTTCAACATTAATAGTAATGGGCTGTTTACTCATTACCCAGCCTTCGGTTCGGCGGCGGCTATATGAAATGAGTCGCTCACACCGCGTATTGCATCAATATACTGTTTACGCTGTTACTGAAGTTTCTATTCGCCAGAGATCTGCATACGTATAGTTTATGCGTAGGTAGCAAATGACCGAGTTATTAATGCTACATGTCACGTAATCAGTGACGATATAATACATAAACAAACGAATCGATAAACTCAACGTAGCCGCCGCTCTACGATTTATGATCTCCTCTATCTGCTGATGTTATTGAAAATGGAAAAAAGACCGATAGTAGTAGAAATTGCTATATGTGTGGATTCTCGAGGCGTTATTAGGACGCTAACAGTTTAAAATATTTGTTCCCTCTGAGTGCTTATTATGGTGGGAACTTCACACGTCGTCGTAATATATATATATATATATAATATATATACATTGACATATATACATATATGTATATATGTCAAGAGAGTTATAGATACTCCTAAATGTAATTTAGACAAAAATATACGGTTCTGTGAGTATTGTATAGGTCTTTCTGCGACCTCTATGTATCAACGTCGTACCGAATCGCTACAAGAAGGAGAAGAGGGGCAGGCAAGCCATGTTGGCCTATGTATACATCATGTACAGCTCGAGGCAAGCAGTAACAATCGTCGAATCATAGCTGCCCCGTGAGCAAATTTTACGTCCTTTCAAAAATCGCTGCTGTCCTATCGACTGTAAGTAGATGGCTGGCCGCTGTCTGAACTGTAGTAGCCGTTCTGCCATGCCTCAGTTTAATCATCATCACTAACGTCGTTTCGACAAATTTCGACATTCGGATGGCCGATTTGTCGAGGCCAGTCAGCCAAGCTAATAATCAGTCGAAGAGATTGTAACCGTCGTTTCACCATCAGCTTCGGTTCGTTCGATAGCGGCATCTGCACTGGGTGTGGATTCATTTCACGGCTTCCTGTGTTACTTTACCTATCTGCTACCAGCGATCTACTAGTCGTGGCGGCGGAGACTGCGGTGTTGGGGTCGATGAAGTCGTTCTCTAGCATCATTCGCTTGCGTCCGTTTGATGCTGCCGCTGCTACTGCTGTTGTTGTCACTGAATTTTCTATGGTAACTGAACTGGATCGGCGTTGTCGCTACGGCCAGATGCCCACACAGCGACGGTCGGTCACCACCGGATCGGGGATTCTGCCGTCAGTGTGTCCATAAATGTCTTTTCTATGCTGTAGCTGCTGCTTTGCTTGTTGTCGTTGTTAGCGGCCGAACATTGATCGTCCATCTAGCAGCAGGAGCTGTTGGACGTTCAAGAAAAATCGTAATAACACTTGTAGCACTCCAACTATTACTACTAGTCGCATGTTTGGCATGCTGTGTGCATCTCTGCGTGCAAGTTTATGACGCAGGGTCGCCGTTATAATAACGCTGCTGCTACTATTGCCGTCGACGCGGTGTTTGAGAGAGAGACAGTAGCCTGAGGCAGGGTTCTTTGGTTCGTTCATTCTACGCGCTTCTCACCCTTTCCTGACGGCGGGAATCGGTGCGCGAGCCGAACCACTGCTGATGCTGTTACTGTTGGCGGTGATTGGTCCCCCAGGGCGTACTGCGGGCGCAAAAATCACCTCCCCGACGATATAAACCGATGCACACCGGGCGACGAAGCCCAAGTAAACCCTCGGCGAAGCCACAAACGAATCGGCAATTATTCAAAACATTATCCGACACCACGTGTGTATGAGCGTCTGCGCGTCATTGCGGAAAGGCAGCGTCGGTATTGGCTGTGCCACATAGGCAACTTTAGTGTAGAACAACCCTGTACAAGGAACTTACGAACTTGAAAGTGTGTCCAAAATGAATACCTGTGTAAGTGAGCATTGCTACGTCCCAATGGCTCTTCGATGTGTCTTATCAAATGAATATATATATATATATATATATGTATATGTGTATGTATATATATATATATATGTGCTTTGTTGAAATTCTATCGGAGCGACAAGACACCGACAAGGATTAGTTTGTGGCAAAACGATCGTCGGATTATCTTGTTACATTGGCTGCTACTCGTTGTAATTTCAAACTTTGTTGACGGGACGAAGTCGGTCTTTATTCATACTTTGTACGGTAAATAACGCACCGTACTGATGATGACATGTTCTATTCTGTCGTTTCGGCAAAATGCCAGATGGCATGACAGGTATTTTACATTTTGAAATGAAAGCTTCTCGTTAGTTTGATCATGTAGCACGAATATGCTCGTTGATAAACTAGTGTTTGGGGCTGCTAGAGATAATAGAAAACGGACGGTCATTTTTCCTTAAATTAAAAGTATCGTTTTTCAATATACCCATGTTATGTAAAGTAAATACGTTACGTTGTTCGAAGCCTCATGTTCACTATATTGACGATTGCCACATTGTCTGATATTTCGCCAGCTCATTGCGTATACTTTAATATCGAGTGCGGTAATGATATTAGCTAGCGTGCAAATAGTCCATATTACGTTACGCTTTCCCATTAAGTGAGCTTTGCAAAGCTCACTTGCTCCTCCCTTTTCGAAACTTTTGTGTATTTAGTGAAATGTGTCCGCCTGGTCTGGTGACGGGTTGGCCTGACAAAACAGGATGCGCGTGATTATCAAAGGCGTCCTATGTGTATATTCATCGGTATAGAATTCTACGAAGTGGGCCGTCCTGTTTGGCCTTCTACTCAGATTACTTTGCCAATGGTGAGCGCGAGAACCAATAACATTTTCCATTAACAATCCCTTGTGCTTATAGCCACACTATACGATTACACATTTGTGCAATATTCCAACAAGGCCGACTTAATACGTAATTGGAAATCCGAGTCAAATCAATAACCAATCGATTGTTACTCTCACGCGACATTTTACATCATGTTGCGACCTCGTGCCGTATTGTGATACCCTATGCGCAAACGTCATTACCAGTTCGTAGATCTATCGTAAAACAAAGCGAAAACGTCGACGGTAGCGGTTTTTATTTAATTTGGACGTTATACTTCAGAATATTCCGCACACAGTGTGCTCACCTCATCTTTTTCCTTCATGTTCAGCATTACTAGGTGTATATATTATTAAAAAGGGCCGTCGAAATCACTTATTTTTAGGTTTAGCATCAAGCACTTGCCGGTTAGGAGTCTAACCAGCCTCACCTTAATGCATGTGTACGGAGTGACGTGTGGTTGAGATTTGAGATAGTTTTTATTGCAAAAAAAGCAAACCTGTTGGGCTCTGCGATATTTTTAGCTCCGAGGAAGGATCATACCGTATCTACATTAAATTTAGCCATTAGCGCTTTCCAACATAGGCTAACTGTGCATTGTTTTTTAATTTTCGACAGAATTGCTATATGTAAAAAATTTGATATTTCTCACTCGAGCGTCGTCGCCCTTATAGCATCTGCTGTAGTGAGCAATTTAATTATAGGGGTGCCAAGCCAGATACTTGTACCTGCGGTGAAATTGCTACCGTTGTAGAAACTCTACTACCGATTTTTATTATCACCCTAAGCGATATGTTTGGCTGTTCATCAAAGACGATATAAAAAATTCACAATGGGCATATATTTATGGTAAACATTACTGGTACGTTATGAGCAACAAGAACTACCACATGCGCATACCGTTCAAATCAGAGTTCATAAGCGGCTTGGGGAGAATCGGCAAACTCTACCACAGCTCGCCTTGATCTTTGAAAGTACTGCATAGACATTGACAGAGATTATGCTAATTTATACAAATTTCATTTTCATTATTCCGATAGCCGTTTATTCGATTCGCTACGCACAAATTCTTCTGTCTTAGAAAATCTGTGTATAATACAAACAGGTTCATTTCGTTGGGGAGTTTTTCAAAAAAATTTGTTATTTCGACATTGTACTTTTCGAAGAAATCTGCAGTTCATTATAAGTGAAATATCGTTCCTCTTTCCAGTTAGGCAATGTAGAAATAACATAATATGCAAATAAACTTCACTAAAATAGCGATAGTGCACCATGTTGACCACAATATTGATTAACAATACCGGATTTTAGATACGCCATCGGGTGCTACTTGGAAAGCTCAGGTATTTCTACGTGCAATCCTGTTTCAGCAATTCCAATCTCTGATACAAAACAATGATCACTATTGTCTTTTTTGTGCTGTTATTTACAATCAAATTGTTTCACGTAATCTTCGTATAGTGACGTATAGTAATAGCGGAAAATACATGCAACCGTTACATTGTTTGGCTCTGAAAAATTTCGAAAAGGGAACCTCGAGGTCCAAAGTTATGCAGATCATATGTGCACTCACATAACGTTCAATGTAGAAACTTCTCGACTGGTTAGTTGAGCCTATATCGATTAAGCGTATATATGTATATTTAATGGGAAATCGTTTTGGTGGCCAATTGTTTGTCCACAAATGTATAAACACTTCTATGCAAGGCTCCCTTTGTCACTTCCGATAGAACCAACTCTACGTCGGCTAACAGCATTTTCGTTGCTGACGTGGATTTCTTATGTAATTATTAGGTCCTTGCGATAGTGCAGTAGGTAACGTATTTGCCTGCTAAATTTAGAAGTACGTGACTGTTGATGGCTGAATCCGGGCGTAGACATACTTTGCTTCACACTAAAAACCAGCCATCGAAAGTAATAGCTAACGGCTTGGAAGTAAAACACGAATAATATTTGTCCATTGGTGAATTTTGGTCATTGCAGCAAATTTTGGCCATCGTGTCAGGCCTAATATTGGCTCTCGTTGGACGTGCGTATACAGGCAGACTTGGTGGTTTATCTCTTGGCGGGCACGGTTCTGGAGGTACATAACCAATTTTCCTAAATATCCTGCTCGCTATTTACGAAATGATTATATATATGAGTATTCCACAAATATTTCAACGTTTACTGTATTAGTTAGCTTTCAGTATCATATACCATATGTCGCGTTCATGAAGAGTAGGAATTAGAAAGTAATTAGATATTTATTTTGCTTATTAAATATGAAATGAATAATAAAACGTTTCCAACTTGGTATTATATATATTACATAACTCTGCTAAATTCAGAAGCAATTCATTTTAAGGTCAACAGACATCGTAATCTATCTCCGTTTGCTTTCTAACCTCTAGGCGCCCACGGTGGAAGCATTGGGGGTGGTCACGGCGGATTTGTTGCTACGCCAGTTTCCTTTGGTCACGGAGGATTCGGTAGGTCACAACGAGCTGGCTTACATAAATAGATAGGTCCGGCATCGCAATTAATTTAGGTTGGCCTTTCTTTTCGCATAAGGCATCATTCCTGATGATGTGCCCAACAGGACACACAGTCTGCGTTCGATAATGAGTGGATGCTCTAACATCGTATACCTGTTGCTAGCTGTCTTCATTTAGAGTTGATATCGTACAAGCAAGATTTACAAAGGAGCTTATTGTCTCGTCAAGTAAAGATAATCTCGTGTAAATGTATTTCAGTTGTATAAATACGTCTATCCAATAGCGTTACAGTTATCATGCTTAGTACGATTCGGGTCCGTTTACTCCAAGTGTTTTCGCCTTTTTGCTTGGCACTTCAACGACGCATATTGTGTACTTGTGTTATTTCAATACAGCTAGATATGTCGGCTCGCAGGCTGCAATACAAAAATCCATATTTTGATTGAATTACTTAGCCTAATATTTAAAAAAAGAAAAAAAAAAAAAGACATCAAGCCGTCACGAACCAGCGGTTCAATTTTAGGTAGATAGGACTCAGTCTGACGTTTTAGTAAAAACTGTGCTTATCGATGCTTCCTTGGTGCATCTATGAGAGCTAGCATCTAGTACAGTGGAAGTGGAATGGGTTGGCCCAGAATTTCTTGCTAACTTTCTGAAATCGATAGAAAATCGATTTTTGCCTGTTGACAACTAACCGTCGAATGCTGCGCAGACGTGCCACAGCAACACAGCTTCGCTCTTCTATACGTCGTCCGTGCCTACTTCTAGTTAGCGTGCCGCTGTTATTTCAGCGGTACGAAAAAACTATCCGTGTAACATTCAGCTTGAGTCGTTTTCCCATGGGGACAAACATTAAAGGAAGGTGATACAATATTCACAACAGATGAGGCTGTTAATGTACGAACGCAGTTCAACGTACGCCTTGATATCTTTCTTGTCGCTTCAGCATTGCAGCAGCCGCTCCACTTTCGTTGTTGTCCTGCCGAGTCCAACAGGACCGACGTTTCGCAGGCGTTTTTTCTTCATTTTCATTACGCAGCATGTCATATTGTTAGATCAGGGTCATATTGTTGAGCAGTTATGAATCCGGATGAAGTTAACGATCAAGAATATCTTTCACTACACATTAGTGAAAAATAGCAGACAGTTTTGCATGACTGGCTGGTCTCGAATAAATATCTAGCTGGGTATCGCTTTGGAGTTGACGGCCGGCTGGTCGTTATCGTTATTCTCAGACTTTAGAAACCCCTGGAAAGAGATTGGTGTATCAGTGTTGGTGCCAGTGGGATAACTAAATGTAACAATTGTTAAAGGGTAACTTATTATATGGTCAGTGTACTGTGAAGTGGTAAAAAGGTGAGTGACTTTTCTAGACTATTTATTGTTTTCTTTTAACGTCAGCCAGTAGGCACGCATTAAGCTTTCCTGTTGTCTAGCTCGGTCATACGAATAGATCGTTGCTCAATTACTAATGTTTAATACTTAAGCATTTATAGGGACATTAGATATGGTTATGTTTTACAGCGTGGGCGCCTAGCAAACAGGGTTTATTTACTGGTTCTCACAATCGTCATAAGTTTACCGTAAAAGGAATGTTAGTTACAGGCCGCCACGGGACAGGCTACTCCGTTAAAATTTCTCCAATCTTGGTCGGTCACGGCCTCGGGCATGGATTTGGTACGTGAACGATATAGATATAGTAAATCCTACTTGATTATAATTTTTTTCCGAATTAGATTCGTCAATTGTACTCCAATTCGTAGAAATGTAGTATTTCAAAACCCGTTCTGATTGGATTTCCGATGGGAGCAAATTTCTTGATGCTATACCTCAAAGGAAGTGAGTCCAAGGACGTGTTGATATGGAAATAATAAGTGATGGCGCCATAATTCAAAATCGAAAAAAGAGAGCTACTTTTTTGGTTCGAAACGGTAACCGATAACTTCATCTAAAGCCACCTTATTCCCTCTGTCTATTTAATATTTTTGTTCGTCATGCAGGATTGGACGGCCATGGCCATGGTTTCCACAGATCACTTGTTTACGGCCCGGTCAAGGTCAAAGGGGATATTCATTCTGCCAAGAAATACGCACCGTTAGCCTATGGACACGGATGGTAAAAAAAAAACCGCTCGACATATGATGCATGGTAATGACGATAATAAACTTCGTTAACCAGCCGTTCCGATTGGATATTTCGCTGATGATCGCAGGTTGAGTCAGACTGTAACGGGTCGTTGTTTTGTAAATGTTGTTCCTTATTCAGGCAATATTTGCATAATACAATGCTTCCAGTCGCTTGTATATAATTAGTTGTCGCCGGTCGAATTTATATATGATGTAATAATATTATAATAAAAATAATTTCATGGTAACACTCAACAAGCTGTTGTTTCTTCCGGGTCCATGCTTGAATCTAATCGTTTAGTCTAAGATGTACTTTTCTATTTCAGGATTACTATGCATAGGAAGGCTTCGAAACGCACTCCGCTCTTTAAGGCACATTCGTAAACAGAAGTAATTTAATTATAATGAAAATCGTATCTTTAAGTAGGCAATCGTTACGCAAAACAGGCTGCATCAGCAAAAGTATTATTTAAGAATAGACAACAAAATTGACTAGTATTGATTTTAAATTGTGCCAAAAGTATTTCCACATTGATTAAGATGTAGATACTGAAATTCACCGCGATATGGGTGCTAAAATGCTGAACTAGCCTATCGCTGGACTAGCTATCGCACTTTTATTTTATAATAGTTATAATAAAATTGTATTTATATCGGACTAAAGCATATAATTATACCAAATGTCAAGTAAGCTTTTTTGTCGAGCCGATTTGCATTAAATGTTGAGTAAAAGTAGGGTAGCAGAAGAAGTTGTTACAGGTCCACAACTCCAGGCACAAGTAAGCGCTGAGAACTTTCAACTGGGGCCAAATGGGCTTATATCAAGGCTCCTCTTCTGGATTCATTATCTCATACTCTATAAGCACAGAAATAGAATTCTTCAGCTATGAATAATCCCCTTTGGCACGTTTGTTTCAAAATTATTCGTGTTTAGATTATATTTTCTTATAGTTACAAAGAGTAATCGTCGACGTCGCTATGTCTTTCAAAAACTAAATGTGTAAAATGATAGCGTGACTGATCACTTTTCGGGGCCATAACTTTTACCTACATAAAAATGGCTCCAGCAAACACTACCCATAGCCATATAGTGCGATCATTAACCTAACTAATTACATTGAATTTAGTATTGTGCTCTAAGCAACTTCGCCGTATGCATTGTGTTTCATTGAATGCGTGACACTGTATGTGCCTCATGCACAGGATCGTGCCCACTACTAAATATCGCTATAACGATCCGCCGTCAGACACCTGTACGGTACTGTGAGGAGGTACGGCCGTACGTACATGTTAGTCAACTAAACGCTTTAGTTTCGTACAGCACACAGATGCCGTCTACCCACCTGACTGTCGTTATTTATCTCTATATAATCACATATGCAAACGGTAAGCAGTATTCAAGAGTCCTCTATCTAGCCTCAGGTGCTTTTTTTTTAATTCAGGCGCTTGAGAAAGCAGCTTGGCCACTGGCAAGATAAATGTGAGGCTCTTCACCTTAAGATCTAGTCCGACAATTATTAGGCGTAATAGCATTTTGCCGTTACACACGCACATGCAGGTCCTTTTCAACCTGAAATCCTTGCAACGAATCGTTCAATAACAAGTGATAGTTTTGATGTCCAGTCCTTTGAAGCAACGGGATTCCTTATTCCTAGCTCCCGTTAAACACGAACTTCTCAAACATACGGACACACATTGGCGTCATCTCAGCGACAAATTATTTGCTTCATAAGAAAACACTCACGGCAACCTGTTCTACGCTCTAATCTGTCCTCGCAACGTGACTGCCATGAACTAACCACAAATCGAACCTCATTTAAATTTGAAATTGATAACAAGGCGCGGCGTCATTTTATACTGAAGACGCCAACGGCAATGTTCGCTTCGCAATAAGATATTGCAAGCGCGGACCTACGTACCTCTACATAAGTGCCTACAGAAGTTAGCATACACCGATTGTTAGCACTATTAGAACGTGCTGCCCAGTCACTTTTACTTACCAGCAGCTCATCACTGCGACAGACCCTCGGAGCTTTAGGGAATTCAGTGGCATTTGCGCCATAATACTCGATTTTTTTGGGAAGAAGCAATGGCGTAAGCGAGGAGCAGCTTCGAACGATGGCCGCCAAAGCTGTGAAATCTTGATGTATGCATTATTACCTACTAATGGCCACACGAGTGTTGTGAGCTTCTACGTTTGATACGATGCCCCTGAGTATCCCAACAACGAAAGTTCTCTAAATTCGTGGACGTGCCATAGCTAAAGTATCTTGGCACTCTGAAGCGTCCTTGTTTCATGCGCCCTGTAACATAACTGGTACGAAGTACATGCAGACTAATCGCGCCGCTATCTCAAACAAAATTGGCGAACAGAATTATATAACGTCTATTTAGAATGGAAACGTCGACACTGACGACGACACCACTACTCAGATTTATGATAAGGTGCCACCATTTGTCAAAACTTACTTCCTGTATACCCGTCTGCGCGAGTTAGTGCTTACGACAGCCGTACCAACATCATTGCTTATCAGCAGTTCACTGACGTGTCCGATGAGTGTTTGGACGTTTAGTCATATAAACATCGTATTTCTAGGCTTCGTTTGTGCTTGTTTATGCAGAAATAGGCAAATGATAAAAAGAAGGGCTGTGTGATCTTAATGTATGCAGTATCACCGTGCAACAGCCACAGTTTGTTATAAGTTTCTACACTCAATGCGATACCTCTCAATATCACAACAGCCAACTAATCGGACGCGTGAATATTCTATATTAAAGCTATGTAATGCTTTTTCTCTTCTTCAACGCCAATTTGAAAACAGCAGAAAGCTAGAAAAGCAAAAAATCTAGCACAGCTAGAGAGAACACAACCACCTGACTACTATTGCTGAATATAACAGCAAATACATATCCAGCGGGTGGGTGGGCGTGTGTTTTAACTATCTGCCCGTACGTTCTTTTTTTGTAAGATATTAAATGCAAAAACAAGACCCACAAGCGCCACTTGTGTACGGTGTATATATGTCTCTTTAAGCGCGTCGCCATGGTAACCATAACTGACGAGTATGCCGCGCTAGTTTGAATTTCAGCGTTTGTAAACACTATTACTAAATACTAAAATCAGGAAAGAAAACTAAAGAATTGAGGAAGATATGGTATTATCAGGGTTAATGGCTTATGTTTGTCATATTGTTTTTTGGTCCCTTCGCGTCTAGGAAGGCCCGCTCCGGTTAGATGATGAATGACGGCAAGTTTTTGAGGCTAAACCTAAAAATAGGTGATTCAAAGGACTTACATAGAATAAAGCGTCAGCGATACTAAATAGAATAGAAATAGAAAAAATAATATCACTAGTGCAATTTTAACATCCAGTTTAATAGGCGGCCAGACGAGTTGCGTTTCACGTTTCCATGCGCTCGGGCTCCATATACATTTGCTATGCGCAGTTTTTGCCTAAGGCGCAGCATCGTGGCAAAGTCATTGGGCCCTCTTGCATGATTTAAATTTAGCACGCTTCCACATACGTGTACATGCATTAGCATAGTGGGAGAAGAACAAATCTAAAGGATGGAGAACACCTAATGGGAGCTGTACGTCGTCTATACTCACCCGTTGTTTATTCTGCTGAAGTTAAAACGACAGAGAGTACAAATAGATTGAGGATAATCACGAAAATAACAAATTCTGCAGGAGTCCTTCTTAAGCTGCCCTGCTTCTTCCAACAGGATGACACTACCAGATTGAGACTCAATTTCTTTTGTTGATCCTTCAATGGTAGACTGATCCGTTTGAAAATCTGCACTGATAGAAGAGCGCCACTTAGCTCTTGAGGAAGCTAAAAACTAAGAACCGGAAGCTTCTACCAGTGTAATGGTCACAGTGGCAATAACAACAACGACAGCAACAAGGCGATGAGTGTCGCAACAAAATCTGGCTTCAACAGTAGCTTGCCCTGAAGTTCGCCATCAGAGGAGTGGGAAGGAAGCTTAAAAACGTGGAAGAGACCAGGCGAGGAGGGCCGCATCGTCTGCGGTCACGCTGACCTTGACCGCTTACTGTAAAAGCCGTCGCGTTGTTGTGTTCTTGGTTTTCGCTTTATTCGTTTGCAAACGTTATTGTTGTTGTCATCGCTATCGCTGTCGTTGTTGCCGTACCTCTCTGTATGCATATGTCTGAAACTTTTTGTGCCGCGGTGCTAGTACTTGTTCGTTATTTTTGGCAACACTTGACCGAGAATGCTGTAACCGTGTGTACCCCAAACCCTTTTCATTTTGTTGCTAGCCGTGCCGTTCGCGCGAGATGGATCGGACTGCAGTCGTTTTGTATCTGGTCCAGCGACCAAGTCAAGAAGAGAAACGAGGAACGTCGGCGATGGCCTTTGGATGCTAATGGTATGGCCAAATAAAACAACACAGTACATACGCCTTGCAGCAGCATTCGAGCCAATGCACATAGTCTGGCATGAGCAGAACAAAGTCCTATTGAAAAAAAACACGCGGTGGGACGGAGGCAGGCGACGAAATCGCAGCTTCTGAAAATTCCGAGACTATGATTGTGTTGCCTTAGGGTCAAGGGCAAAAAAAGACGCTAAAGAGCAGGATGTACTAAGGTAATACCGATGGCTGCTGCTGTTGCAGCTACGTTCTAACTCGATCGACGTTTGGATGGCTGCATGTGCTGGCTTACGGCAGAGTCTCCTTGCAATAATATCAGTAGCCCAGAGCAAGCAGCTTGCTACTGTGTAGCCTGCAGGAGATGCCGAATGTCGCGTTGCTTAGAACATCATTCCGATCACAGCACTACATACACACCGTCACGGGAAAGATCGTCTGACGAAGAAGCACGAGGGAGGGAAGAAAACAAAGACAAATGCGGTCCCCGACACATTTGCGGTTAGTGTCATTAGTTTTATGAGAAGGCATCAAAGACAACTAATTTATGCACTTGGTGTAGTTGACAGCAAAGGAAAGTTATACCGTTTGAGAAATTCCTCTGGGGGGTGTACACAGTGCATAAATGAGCCCCCAACAAAGGAACAGTTTGCTCATATTTGCGGCAGCTGAATAAGCATAAAAAGTTTCGTTATATACTTCAATTTGACTGTTACGCTTTTTGTCAACTCTCTTTAGGAGAGCTAACAACCGGAAGGAGTAAATGCATAATTACCAAAAAGCACGAGGTTGGTCACTTCTCTGCTGGGTCACGAACCTTATGTCTTAATTGTTAAATGATTTGATGATATATAAGAGCAAACAAACTAATTGTGGTAGCGCATGTGAAAGCCCGAGTCGGAAGAGTTGTCCAAGCTCCTGAAGTTTTGACCTGAAAAAGAAAGCCTATTTAGATATTATTCCCCCAATTTGTGCTGTATTATAGTTTTGCTAACGGAGTCACTCGATCGTTCAGCGCTATTTGCGAAAAGGCTTGGCTATATTTGACTCTGTGTTGGAACCACTGACCAGCTAAAATTGGTGAGGCCCGGCCTGTGGGTAGCAGCGAATAGTGGTGCAACGAAAAAAGCGTGTTAGTTTGCCTTAGCTTCCGTTCCCTTGGCTTTCTTTCCTATTTTTCTTTGCGTCTTAGCCCTTTTTCGTTTTCACTGTCGCTTGGTTACCCTATCGA